AAAAGGAGGATTTGTTTTTCATCCAGTTACTTAGCCATTAATAAAGAAATAACTTAATAACGATTGCTGTACCAATTGTATGAATTATGTGGTTATTCGACGGATAAAGATAATTTTGGAAATAAAGGAGACATAGGCGGGTTTATAGTGAAATCGTTTATTCAAAGAGAAAGAGAGAATGAGTGTTACCTGTTGGTCGGGTAACAGCGAACTGAACTATAAATTTATTATAAAGGAGTACGCGACGCGACATTAAAATCTAGTAGTTTACGTGGCATCACATATGGGTGGTAAAATACGAGAACGTGCTCTACATGTAATAATATAGGGGCGAATGCGCGAAATGAATTGTATATTCAACACGCCCCCACAATGAGATTCCGCGTAAAAAGAAATAAACACAATCAGAGAATTAAAGACGGCAAAAATTAGATTTAGATTTAACTAGTCCAAGTCCTTTAGAACATCTCACGTGCGGCGGCGAACTCAGAGGCTTGGTTAAAACATCTGCAGTCATCTCGTCCGTTGGAAGGTACTCCACCTTGATTGGATGATCCTGAAGAACACCGCTTATGAAGTGATGTCGTATGTCTATGTGTTTAGATCTCGCTTGGAAGACAGGGTTGTATGCGAGCTTCCCAGCAGATTGATTGTCGTTGAAGATCACGATCTTAGCCAGTTCGGGGCGCTTGAGTTCGCGCAAAAACTGTATAAGATGGATCGCTTCCTTGCTAGCTTCCGTGAGACTCATGTACTCGGCCTTAGTTGATGATAGGGCGACAGTCTTCTGTTTACGTGAAGACCAGGATATAGCAGCTCCGGAAAGAATGAAGGGGTAGCCTGAGTATGATCGACGGTCAATGATACATCCTCTCCAGTCAGCGTTGGCGAATGAAGAGACTCCTCGTTTGTCCTTCTTGTAGACGAACTTTTGGTCGATGGTTCCTTTTAGGTAACGTAGCACGCGTTTGGCAGCAGTCCAGTGGAAAAGACGGCTCGTCGAAGTCCGTAAATCGCTTTCTTGAGTCTGCATACCTTGTCTCAGCATGACTTTGGCTTTCTCCGCCAAGTCAGGGTTCTTCTCCGCCTTCACCATCTCCGTCAGCGTCACCTCGAGCAATTCTGGGGTCCTCATGTGCACAGTAGTATCCACGTCACCGTGTAGGTAAGCGGTGGCGATATCTAGCTGAGATACGTTTAGGTCGTACTTGACAGACAAGGAGAGAAGCAATCTCAAAGACTCGAGTCTGGCGACTGGAGCGAAAGTCTCGATAAAATCCACTCCTGGCACTTGAGAAAAACCTTGAGCGACGACTCTTGCCTTTCGGCGAATTAGCGAGCCATCTGCCCCGAATTTGTTTCGTAGGATTGTCCTGCAGCCAAGCACTCTACCGATCGCTGGCTTTTCGACGAGTTCCCAAGTGTCGTTGCTAACGAGGCTCTTTGTCTCCTCGTGGATAGAGTCGAGCCACTCTGAGCTGTCTGGTCCGTTCATGGCGTTCGTCAATGGAATCTCAGTGGTGACCATGACGAAGCACCCCACCCTTGGACTATCGTCCTCCGCTGCGTCAACGTCCCCGTTCTCCGCAGCGTTAGGCTACATGTCGTCCGATTTGGGTGGTCCCTCGTATGTGCTCGACGGGACGTTGCTCCGGTGGATTAAATCCTCGATACCGGCGCTGGAAAGAGATCCGGCATGAACCTCGTCCCTGCTGAATCCACGAAAAGGTGCCTCCTCGCCCAGCACGTTCCCGTGCTTACGATCATTTTGTCTGACATTGGAGTTATCTCGAGAATGGAGTTCGATGTCCAGGGAGTCACAGAAGTCCTCAGCTTTGTCGGTCGGCTTGACTTCATCATCCGGATCGGCGCCTGGTAAGAACTTCACGTCCCTTGAGTTGTAAACTTTGTGTTCGCTCGGTATCCAGATGCGAAAAGTAGTTGCCGTTTCCGTATAACCAACAAATTTTCCGGGGATCTCTCTGGCATCGAATTTACCTTTGGTTGGTGATTTATCAAGTATATACGCTCTGCATCCGAAAGGTTGCATATGTGCGATGTTAGGGCGTTTGACATTCTAGATCTGATACGGCGTGCCGTGAGAAATAGCTTTCGTCGGGCATCGATTACGCACGTAGTTGGCCGTCGCGATAGCCTCTGCCCAGAACGAAGGCGGCAAGCCCGACTCGATCAGCATGCACCTCGCCATTTCGACGAGCGTTCGATTCTTGCGTTCAGCCACACCGTTCTGTTGAGGCGTGTGGGGAACTGTTGTGCAATGCTGAATGCCGTTGTCCATGAGTATTTTCTTGAGAGCGTTGTTCACGTATTCGCGTTTGTTGTCAGACTGGAGCGCCTTAATTTTCCTGCCTGCTTGATTTTCGGCGTAATTTTTGTATTCTTGAAATTTTTTGGAGGCTTCGCTTTTGTTTTTCATGAAGTAGATTGCACACCATCGACTCTTGTCGTCGATAAATGTGATTAACCAGCGATTGCCTGCCATAGTGGCGTTTCGCATCGGTCCGCATACGTCGGAATGGACGAGCTCTAGAAACTCGTCGGCAGAACTTTTTCAGCTGGAGAAAGCGTGACTGGTCATCTTGCCTGCGAGGCATATTTCGCACGGATCATGACTGTTGTTGGATTGAAAGTTGAGACCCTCTACGCAGTTACTCTGCTTCATCAAAGCCATGTCTTGCGCGTTCAAGTGCCCAAGTCGACGATGCCAGACGTCCGCCTGAAGAGGCTTCGCCAGTGCACACGTCTCGATGTTTCCACCTATACAGAACAAATTTCCGACACGGTCAGCGACGATCGTCACGTTTCCGTTCGCATCTCTTGCTTCTGCGCAGTTCTTCTTAAAAACAACCTCGTTGCCTGCGTCGACGATCTTAGCCACTGACAGCAGGTTAGTTCGAAGGTCAGCGACGTAAAGCGCGTCTTTTAAAGTCATTGTTTCACACACGTTGTTACTGACGTTCACTCTGACATCACCTTTTGCTTTTACGACCGTAGTGGCGTCGCTGGCGAGTCTGAGTTGGTCATTTACAGCTTTGAGGTTGGAGAAAGCGTCCTTGGTGTTACATGAGTGCGAAGTGCAACCGCTGTCCATGCACCAGGTATTCGTTGCGCTCGTTTCTCGGGCCTGCGCCGTAAAACAGAAATTGGCTTTCTCTGTCTTCGCTGGCTTAGCGTGTGCTTTCTTGGCGTAGCAGTTGGCTTCTTTGTGTACCGCTTTTTTGCAGAAGCCGCACTTGTACTTTTTCTTGTTCTTGCTTAACGTATTTGCATCGGCCTCGTCCTTCTTCTCGCCTTTGTTTTGGTTGGGCTTCTTCTTGGACTGTGCAAACATGGTGCTGGTGTCGTCGTCTTTTTGCTGCCTGGCGTAGTACTCTTCGATTGTTTTTATCTTGAGCGATTCGGCATCGGGCAAAGCGTCACGTGACTCGATCGCGCACCTAAAATTTTCGAAGCTGCTCGGGAGACTGTATAGCAGCAAAATGGATAGAAGCTCGCCATTTACTTGAATCTCCATGGCTTCGAGCTTGTCCACACTGTCGAAGAAGTCGTTTAGATGCTCTTTAAAATCTGCACCCTCCTGCATACGCATCTGCGTGAATCGTTTGAGGAGTGTGGCTTTTCGAGCCAGCCCCTTGGATGCGTCAACATTCTCAAGTTTCTGCCAGACGTCCTTCGATGTGACGCAGCCTCTGGTTTGTTTCAGCTCCAATGGCTTTATCGACAATATAATGTCTGCTTTCGCCTTTCGATCTTCGGCTAGCCACTGCACTCGTGCTGTTCGAGCTATGGTCTGTGCCTCCGCTGTACCTTCGATTTTCGGCTCCGTTGAATCACCAGAGACGTACTTCCATGCACCGTTCTTGACGAGCAATGCTTCCATTTGGATTTTCTAGGTGTCGTAATTGTCCCTGGATAGCATTTCGAATCGCACTGTGTATGATGTGTTGTCCGCCATTTTTTCTTGTTGGCTGCAACTGTTCTTTCTCTTTCTGTTTTTACCGTCTCGTTATCTAAAGACTAGCGTTTCTTAAGATAAGTCTCTTTTGCGCGTTACCTGGGCCCATAACCTTTTGGAAATAAAGGAGACGTAGGCGGGTTTATAGTGAAATCGTTTATTCAAAGAGAAAGAGAGAATGCGTGTTACCTGTTGGTCGGGTAGCAGCGAACTGAACTATAAATTTATTATAAAGGAGTACGCGACGCGACATCAAAATCTAGTAGTTTACGTGGCGTCACATATGGGCGGTAAAATACGAGAACGTGCTCTACATGTAATAATATAGGGGCGAATGCGCGAAATGAATTGTATATTCAACAGATAATAGCCATAAATTTTTCAGTGACCTATACTGTTGCATTTTTGCACTGGGATTTTAACCCTCCCTGACGAATATATCACTACAACTGCACGTTAGGCTGTTATTTGATAGGAAAAATCTTAGTAAGTCCATATCTTACTATGAATAGCATACGTAATTAGGGCACGCCAAAGACAGGTGTAGCAATACTTTGTTTAAAATTAACAAAGAAATTTACCAGTTCCAAATGCAAATCGTTTTTTTTAATTATTGTAAAATCAAAAGTACTGTTGCAATAAAATTGCGTAGATTTATAAAGTAAAAAAAATTCAAGAGGAATATACACGTTGTCATGTTAGGCATGCATAACGAATAAATGGCGATAATATTTGGAACAGCTGTAAAAATTCAACCCTCATTTAAAATAATTAGAGTAAACACTTGTGAATACTTGGAACAGAATGTGATCTAGCTACGCTTTATTCTCTTGAATATACTTACATACACACCAATACTCTTTTGTACATATCTATACATATTCACACACACACTTATATCTATACAACAATTCTTTCTAAGGACCTAGGAATCAATTTGACTATGGTGTAGCCCAAAAAAGATTTTGATAGTGTATGATAAAAACTTCAAAAGTGCATTAATTTTTAATATACTTATTTTATTTTAATACAACTTTTTGATATGTAAAGGTTTTGGTCGACTGCGGAAAACCAATTTTTTATCGATGATGCAGTCAATACTGTAAGCAAAATTTTTGAAAAATATTGGTTTGTTCGTGGATATAAAATTTTCATTGTCCTTTTTTAATATGACTATAGACTTTGTTGAATTAGTTACTCTCCCTTCAAGTAGACTATTACCAATCTGTAGAAGAGTTGTACTGTTTTTTTTGAAAAAGATATCTCCGATTTCGTAATCACTTACAAATGTAGAGCAAGGTTTAACATTTCCATGCAATTCAATAACTATCCCACTTGATCCAATGTGATTGCTGAAAAATATATATTTAGTTTTAAGTTTATCTGATGAGTTATTTATAAATTTTTATAAGAAACCAAAAAACTTATTTCAAAATATTAATTAAAAATTTACGAATAAAATTCATTTAATCAACTAAGGTATGATCTTCAAGAGAACGATCATAAGAGTTCTAAATAAAGCGTTTGATCAGTACAACCCTAGGTATAAGGATATTATGGGGATTGGAAGGGAGGAGTATGCAAGCAAGCAAATCAGGGGGATTTGTATAAGTCATGTGGCAAAAGCCAGATGTGGGAATCTGGATGGAGGAAATAGGTATTTGTTAGAAAAGGATAAACGGCTATACGAATTGAGTAATTGTAAAGAAGGAAGTTTAGAACATTTAATAAAGGAATGTAGAATTGTAAAGGAAAACAAGGTATGTAACCCAATGAACGGAGAGCTAGATGTACAAAAAATGTTAAAGGAGGTTAGCTCGTGTAAAATTGCAAAAATATTGGGTAGATTAAGTAATTTGTATGAGAAAAAAAGGGCTGAAAACTGTAATAAGCGCTGAATGAATATTCATATGTATGTAGTTAAAAGTAAGATAAATGGAGTATTGAAAGTTATTGTATAAGAAGTGAAAAGGTTGTAGAATTAGTAAATAAAAATTGGAACTGTGATTCAAATTAATTTATGTAAATTATGTAAGGAATGGAAATTATGTAAATTATGTAAATTATGTAAAGGTAGAAAACCTTAGGATTAAGGAAATGTTACAATTTTGTTTGTATAGAACACTGTACTGAGTCCGTTTTCTGGACCTAATTGGTTGNAGATTAAAATTTCCAGGCATATATGCAGTGTATATATTTATATGACAGTATAAACGTTGTACTCTGTACATGACTGACGTCAAAAAGCAGTGAGATAAGTTCTGTACCCGCGATTTCTACGAGGTTGACCCTTCCTCTGACGTTCGGCTTTTTTATGTATTGATTCAAAACCGATCGAGTAGTTCTAAATAAAGCGTTTGATCAACACATTTGTAAAAATGTCTGTCTCAAAATAATATGGACTTATAATTGGATATTTGTAACTCCAAGTCTATTGATTACTATATCGACGATGTGATAAAAAAACAATTTCACTAAGGATAAAATATTTTAATAAGTAAAATCGGATTTTTTTTAAGCTTGAAATTCACAACTTTCTGAAGTAATTGAGATGTGATAAAACCTACACCTAAATACTTTACAAGACTTTTCTAGTGTTCTTAACATTGAAAAAACACTATTTTTGATTCGATTCAAGTTAATGATAAAATAGGTTCTTAAGCGAGTCGTACCGATTGTACCATGAGTGATTTGTTTGATTTACCATTATATTTTCTGAACCTTACATCAACGCACAAAGCATGGTGAAAACCAATATAAAAAATTTATTAATATTGGTATATTAGAAATGCTGTATACCAATTCAACTATTTTTCTTGTACATATGTTGATCTCCCACTGCCAAAGCAGCGTCACCCGTTCGCTCTTTCTTCACTTCCTGTCTAACTCGAGCACAAGCAACACACTTGGACTAAGCTTCGTATTCGTTGCTGTGATTAAAAACAAAGCTTTTTATGATAAACAGTGTCTTTTGGCACTTTGGTTAACTCTGGCACTTAAATACCTTAACAGTTTTTGGGCCCAAGTCTTGCTTTCACTGCCTGAATATTTTATTAAATGCTTTTGCATTTGCAATCGTGTTGTGATCTACGATTCAATTCGTGTGTAGAAGGCAAGATGACCAAGGACAAGGATCTTGAGAAACGGTTCAAGACGGCTAGTAAGGAAGATGCTCAAAAAGGCGAGTCCTCTAATGCTTACGTAAACATGCATAAATTTTCGGGTATATATATATATATTCATACATTGGGATATACTTGCTTAGACTATATACATCTCGCGATGGAGACAAAACCTATTTTAATATGACAACACGTAAGAATAACAACATAACATATAAAATAATGCACTTCTATAATGTAATTAAATTTAAATATTCAATAAATTAAAAATGTATAACACAAAATGGATATAAATAAAAACAATAATAACAATAACAATAATAATTATAATGACGATAGTAAAAATAATTATAATTATAGTAATAACAATAATATTAATAATAATGATAATAATAATAGTAATAATAAAAATAATAATAATAATACGTGTAATAATAATAATAATAATAATAATATTTGTAATAACAAAGCTCAGAGTACAATAAATAATACAACTCTAATTAATAAAAATTAAGGACAATAGAATTTGTCTATGAGTAAGTATAAAAATATATAAAATCGTTGATGGGTTCATTCTGTGACTCTAGGCTTATGTCGCTATGTTCGGACTCAGTTGAATATACCTGATCTGTTACTGGACGGACTTTCATTCGGTCTGCTGGTCGGATTTTTTAGAAAATTTATATAAATTTGTACAAATTGCAAGTATACTCCTACTTTTATTAATCAATTCTTGCGTAGGCTTATTATAATTCATATGTCGTCTAGAAAACTTCAGGTACTTAACCAATTTTTGACAGAAAACACCAGTGCTTTAAGGTACAATAGCAATCCATTCGAAATTTTGGTATTTAAATTCAGAAACCAATGTGTGATCTTGATAAAGCTATGGTCAAGTCGACAAACCTAATAGATTTTGATGAGAGAGTCAACCACATTCAATCTTATTCAAACATGCAAGACCCACGCAGAGTCCTACTCGTAGATCAGAATATCACTCGTAATTCAGATAGGAAAATGAGACAATCAGAAACTCGATGGATAATTTGACCACTGAGGTCTTTTTAATTAAGGGTAATTAAAAACCTCTGATCAAAAATTCCCAAATTTGTAGCTCTAGCGTTAAAATTAACGAGAAACTTTTTAATTCCATATCTCGAAATAAATTGGCAAATAATAACCTTTATACAATTGCGTAACATTAAACTAACAAGTGTACAAATATTTTAACTTACATTCCTTGAGCTTCATTGGAAACAAGGATATGAAAAGAATTAGGGAAAAAGACTTCTGTTTAAACCACAGTAAACGTAAAAAAATAAATAATCCTTCTGTTGTTTTCCAATACAAAAAAATACACAGCAAATGGGTTTTAACTAGGTCTTTAACAATTAACATACAGATCTTTGCCTAACATACTTAATAATAGGGTAAAAAAAGTACATTCATCTCTCAATCGACGGAAAGACTTTTTAAAATGGCTTTGCTATTTTTTTTTTAATTACGAATGTTTGTAGCGAAGATTAAAATTTCCAGGCATATATGCAGTGTATATATTTATATGACAGTATAAACGTTGTACTCTGTACATGACTGACGTCAAAAAGCAGTGAGATAAGTTCTGTACCCGCGATTTCTACGAGGTTGACCCTTCCTCTGACGTTCGGCTTTTTTATGTATTGATTCAAAACCGATCGAGTTTCTACTTTTTGTGTAAATATTTGTACTTTTTTGTATATTAAGATTCAAGTCTGATAAAACCTAACCAAAATTATTTTTTAATTGTATAAATAATTTCTCTTTATTCCTGTCGTTCCCTGGCTTTTTCCTGAATATACGTGACCAACTGTAACTTAACGTTCTGGACTTCATAATTGTCAATTGAACTGTCAATAGGCCATTTACTTGCATTAAATAAGGGAGTTTAAGTCAACTCGAAAAGCAAAAATGACATAAAATTCAATATAAATAATATTGAAGTAGCTCGAGTTAAAAAAATAGGAAATGCTAGTACAAAAATAAGTTCATACTTCGCCTATAATTTGGTTTTATCTTAAATACGATACGTACAAACATACATTATTTAAGTGAGGATAGCGATGAGCCTTCAACAATCGTGCCAGTACGCAGGGCTGCATTAGAACAGCTTCTACCTTTCAACCAAAACAATCATATAATTGATAGAAAAACAATTAAACACAATCCGTTGTTGACACCTTGGTCTACTAGAAACCCTATGATTTTTTAACTTTATTGCGTGTATATTAAACAGTCTACGTTCCCACATGTACTTTATCCATACTCGCACGGACATCATGTCCCGTAGTCTAGTGGTTGCGGAGCCTGACTCGGAAGCTCAAGGATAAAGGTGCAAATCATAGTCGCTGCAGGTCTTTCGTAAAATAAAAATATGTTTCAAATTCATCAGTATCTACATAATGACTCTGAAGTTTGCAACGTTGCGTGCAACGGAAAAAAAAAAAATTTTTTTTNTGAAGTTTGCAACGTTGCGTGCAACGAAAATAAAAAAAAATTTTTTTGTTTTTTTTTTTTAATTAAAATGCTTTAAATGCTTCAACAAGTGATAAGGAAGGCTCCCAGCAATTTTTAGATCATAAAAATGTACCCTTCTCGAGATATAAGAGTTTAAAGATTGATTCAAGTGTAAAGGCGTAAAAAATGCGTTTAGGCCTTTAAAACTATTAAAGTGGAATTCATATAGTGTATATAGATCAAGGTAAGTCTTTGCCTATGCAATACCTCAAAAAAACTATCAAAAAAGAGTTCCTCTTTATAATACCGTCACGATATAACAATGACCCATATAACCCAATAACCCAACAAAGTTAAAATAAACTGTATACGCAAGTACAAATGACTTGAAAAATAAAAAATCATCCATACAAAACTATATTCTTAGTACTAGCTCGATAGAATAACTAATAATGTATGTTTCCCGTCATCAAAAACTTAATATGTTGAATATTTCATTGTGGAAATATTCGTAATAGACAACAATTTTTTAACATTCTAATAAAATAGACTGTACGACACCAATAACAGCAGGGAAAACACAATAAAAAATAGAAACGTACAACAGTTGAAGCACGTTTTGTCTTAAACAAAATGTTATTCATTAAATTTATCATTAAGAAAGATCAGAAAATACCTACATTTCAAAAGAAATCTGATATCACAAGCTGCACGCCACTAATAATGCATAGACATTA